ATGAGAAAGCTAAAATACATAAGTACTTTCAAAACCATGCTATAAGAAATGTTTTACTCTCTGAATGGGAGAAAGTTAGACACAAAATGTATACGAAAATTCCTGAGTGGCTTTCAACGATGGAAGCATTTGCTTATCCGAATCTGATTAATTATGATAAACTTGTTAGTTATAAAGACATTTTGGACAAGGATGGAAAACTCAAAGACAGGCAAGCCCTTCAACAACAAGGTATTGACTTAACATTGTGGTCCTATTTGCAAATTCAAACAAGATATGAAAAAGACATAAAAATAATGGGATTTTACAAAGAGCTGACTCCACTTGATAAAATACTTTTAAAAATAGATGAACATTTGATTAAGAAGCTTTATAAATACTTATTAAATTGGAAGATGGAAGAAGAACAAGTAAAAGAGACAATGATAGTATGGGCAAAGAACTTTGGATATTCTATAGAATTAGAAGACTGGCAAAAACTGTGGGATAAAAATATCAAACTTACTAAAGCAGTAACATACAAAGAAAACTTATATAAAATGTTTTATAGATGGCATATGACACCAGTTTGCTTAGCGAAAATGTTTAAAAATTTATCGGATACATGTTGGAAATGTAAGCAAAAACCGGGTACTTATTACCATGCCTGGTGGACATGTTCTATTGCAAAAAAATATTGGTCTAAGATTCATAGATGGTTAGAAAAGATGATGAAAATCCAGATAGAATTTAAACCAGAACTGTTCCTGTTAGGTATATTAAGACCTAATTATGGTAAAGAAAATGATTATTTAATATTACATGTATTAACAGCTGCAAGAATAGTATTCGCCCAATTTTGGAAAAATGAAAACCTACCATCAGATCAGATTATAATTTTGAAAATCCTAGATTGTGCAGAAATGGACAGATTAACGTTAGAGATGAAGGAGAAAGAAGAGTCAATCTTCTATAAAACCTGGGGGAAATTTTATCAGTTGGTTGAAACACGTTAGAATAAGAAGAGATTTTTAGAGCTTTATTATATTAAGTATTAAGGTTGATGATTGGAAATAGTTGTTATGCTATCAACTATGTTAATTATTTAAAGGAATATTATTGTTTTATCAAATGTTAGTTGTAACTATACCGATTTATTTTTATAAATGTCTAGTATTATATAAACAATAATACTCAATATGAAGACCCGGACGACAGCTTGTTCGCTGAATTACGTATTTACTGTAGTTACCCACACCCTGTCCCCTTTATCCCGATTTTCCTGTACCCGCACCGACCCTTCCCTTTCCCTACCCATATAAAATCTAATAAAATATATTTTAAAAAAAAAAAGTGTGAGAGAAAATGAAAGGGAGACAAGGTAACCAAAATAAGAAAATTTGGTAAAGTTCATGAACTTTGGCCTGGTTGACAGTGGTCATGGGATTCCATTAATGGAAAGAGCGTGGCAATCCTGGAGAATCAATTCTTAATAGGTCAGCAGATCAGTTGGCAGTATATGGATAACCACTTCCCCTCCATTTCCCTGTGTTGTAGCGCACTGCCATGTTTCTGCTTTCTTCTGTCCTCCAGGGAACAAGGCAGATAAGCATTCCGAACATTTTCATGTGGATTTCCCCCTTCGCACCAACTACATGTATATCAAGATCAAGCGCACTCTGCAACATGAAATCTTTGCCTTTTCCATCTGTCTCTGGCTCAAGTCAACTTCATCCCCAGGGATAGGCACACCTTTCTCCTACTCAGTGCCCAACCAAGCCAATGAAGTGGTGCTTATTCAATGGGGAAATAACCCCATGGAGTTGCTCATCAATGATAAGGTAGGAGAAATATCTCTAGTTGTTTATTTGTGCAACGTATTTGAAGGTGTTAAGTTTGGTACCTTGCCATGTTCATAACTCCCAGGTTTGCTCATTCCCATTTTTAATTGAACTTTTCTGTCCTTTGCTTTGCAGGTTGCCGCTTTGCCATTAGCCATTAATGATGCCAAATGGCACCATATCTGTGTGACGTGGTCAACTCGGCATGGCACCTGGAAATCTTACCAGGATGGTGTCCAAAGAGGGAGTGGGGAGAACCTGGCTCCTTGGCATCCTGTGAAACCTGGAGGTGTTTTCATACTAGGCCAGGAGCAGGTAAATAGCCTTCGCACGTTCCGTCACTATTGTGCATGGTTCTGAATACATATTTATTGCACTCTTCTTCCACAGGACACTCTCGGTGGGCGCTTTGATGCCACTCAAGCTTTTATTGGGGAAATGTCAGATTTCAACATGTGGAGCTATGTTGTGACACCTGCTGAAATTTACAAGATGGCAACCTGCAGTAGCTCCATTGGTGGTGATCTTATCAATTGGACTGAAAACTCTATAGAACTTCATAGAGGAGTGATCAAACTACCGTATAATGCCTGCCACTAAAAATCAACCAAAGAAACATGGACATAGTATTCTCTGGAAGAGAAAGATACCAAATGGTTAAAGGCAAAGCATGGGAGGACCTCAAGGTTTATTTCATACAGTGGTAGAAAGGGTTGGGAATTCAAAATTTCCGGGTTCCTTGACAAAAGAATGGGGGCCTTTATGTTTGGGATGCATGCAACAAAAAGAAAATGGGTATGTATGCAGCATCTAATGGCAGGAAAATCTTAAGATCCACAAATACAGTGAAGTATAATTTGGAATATATGTTTTATGAAGTTGAGCAATTTTCAGAATAAGAAACATTCCCACCTATGATAAACCTATACTATGTATTGGGATTTTCTTAATGTAGGAGCAGGAACAAAAAAATAAAGTTCCCCATGATGACAATATGGCCAATAGGACACTTCATTCTCAAGGCCTTGATGTGTAGCATTGGTCCATTAGGAAGATATTTATGATAGGTCAAAATCCTATTTTTGACTAGTAGTTTTCTACAGTAACATCTGAAAATATGCAAGGGAGGAATGGGAAAAAGAATTTGCTGGGTTTTTTTTTCAGAATCTTTAGAGAAATAGATGAACACCTTACCAGGTAAATTGGTTGGATGATGCCCGACTGTCATGTTTTATTTATTTTTTATATTGTTTATTTTATTTCTTGTAGGCTTCCTAGAGTCATGTAGGTGAGATGAGCACTATATCAATCAATCAATCAATCAATCAAATTCTCAAAGACTCATTCATTTATCTAGAATTAAGCTCTACACACCAAAATGGCTCATGAAGACAATCAAAATGTCAAAGGATGGCTTGTATGGCTTTCTTATAGATTAGACATATGACTAAACAAATCTCAGCATTTCTGTTCAGACATTTTCTACCAGCTTAGTGGACCTTTACCTTCTTCTCAGGAAATCATTGCCAAAACCCATCAGGTCTAGAGGAAGAGTTGTATAGTGTATGAAAGACATACTTCTATATTAATCTTAGTATTTAACTTTTTCTGAATTCACCATTTTTCTGCCTCTCTTTCCATTCCCCTCACCCTCCATTAATTTAAATAGTATTTATGTACTGTATATATCTCTTCTAAACTTGAATAAAGCTGTGCTTGAAAAAAATGTTCCAACTGTGAATGAACTAATATAACCTGGATGTAGATCTGGACATGGACTGAACCAAAATTAGAGGCCGTGTTAACCAGCTCTAGAAGCCCTAGGTCAGACTTTGCGAATATCATAAAGTGCTATTATGCATCACTGCAAAAACCATGTTGACCATTCTGCTATATCACAGCAAAAACAGTTGTATATCATTGTGTTAGATGTTTAACCCAATCTATCTTAAAGGTGACTGGAGGTCTATGAAAATGGAAAGGTTGGGTTAGGGCAGTGGTTCTCAACCTTCCTAATGCCGCGACCCTTTAATACAGTTCCTCATGTTGTGGTGACCCCCAACCATAAAATTATTTTCGTTGCTACTTCATAACTGTAATTTTGCTACTGTTATGAATCGTAATGTAAATATCTGATATGCAGGATCAGACTCTAGAGTAGACTCTAGAACAGCAGTTCTCAACCTGTGGGTCGCGACCCCTTTGGGGGTCGAATGACCCTTTCACAGGGGTCGCCTAAGACCATCGGAAAACATATATTTCCGATGGTCTTAGGAACAGAGACACCGCTCCTCTATCCATCTCCAGGCGGATAAAAACAACACAGAGAATGGTAAGACTTAAAGCATCAAAGGAGCAACTCCCCGCCTCTCAGGTAGAGCTAGCAAGAGCCAACGACTCAGCCCGCCTTCTCCCAGCCTTTTCACCAATCAGAAGCCGCGGCCCGGACATTGGCGTCCGTGACGTATCTTCCCGGGGAATCTGTGAAGCTGGTGGAGCTGCTCCAGATCGCGCTTGCGTGCAGTCGCTCGCACCTCGGTGGAAGAGGGGAGACGGGCTGGCGGGGAGTTGAGGGGGGGTGAGGCAGGAGGAGGAGGAGGAAGGAGGGAGGGAGGGAGGGAAGGAAGGGTTGTTAGCTGTGGAATCAGCACGCCGGAGGGCTTTGCCGTGGGGGTGGGTTCCTTTTGTATTTTGATTCCCTCTCTTTTGGAGGGAGGAATGGACATTTTATGATCTGGAGAAAAAAAAAATCTGGTGTCTGTGAATAAAAGCGCTGGCGATCATCTTTTCTTTCCGCCAGCTCGCCTTGATGCATTCAGTGCAATTGCTTTTTTAAATAGCGCTTTTGGATTGTATTTTTTTTAAAATCTTAGCTTTTTTTTTTAAAAAAAAACTGGAAAGCGCATTCTTAGAGCAAGGCGTAGACTTGGTACCTCTCTCTCTCTCTCTCTCCCCTGCGCCCCCCCCAATCCCCGGGTATTTTTATTTTTATTTTTGGTTGGCAAAATCGGATCCGCAGCTGCTAAATGAATAGTGGCTTGCGAGGGAGGGGGGCTGCTGTGGGCAGCAGAAGACAGGCTGGTGCATCCGAGGTGTTGTTCACTCACTCGCCTCCTTTCTGTTGAACACCCCCCCCCCCGGTCTAGATCAGAGTTGCTGTTTTGCCCGGGCATGAGCCAGGATGGCCATTCGTGGGGTTGGTCTCTGCCCTTGCGTGGGGGGGTTGCAAGCACCTTAATTGAGTCTCCCCACCCCCATCCGTGGGATTTTCCTCGGGGTTTGCCAGGAGCTGCGCTTAAACTCGGAATCGCCCGGCTGCAAGCGAAGAGAAGGGAGTTGGCGCGGGCGAGAAAGCCAGCAAGCCAGCCTGCCAGCCCAAATTGTGAGCTTCCCTTTGCCTTTTTCATCGTGAATCGGGAGCAAGCCAACCTCAGGATTTTCCCTCCTCCCGCCTTTAAACGGCTTCCTTTTATTCTGCCTCCCACCTGGTCGGGATCCAAAGGCGAGGCTCCGATTGGGGAAGTGTATACTCCACTGCCAGAAATTGTTAGGAAAAAGGAAATGCATTGAGAGAGGGACTTGTCAGAAAACATTTAGATGAGAATCAAGTACGCTCAGTGGAAGGTGAAAATGTTGGAAGGAGGGAATGAAATAGCTGGAATCTGGGACAGCTGTAAAGTCGTATCCTTCTGTTTTGGGAAACTTCCATGAAAAAGTAGTCACGTAACCCCTCGCTTCATCCACAAAATGTTACAGGGGTTCTGATTTTTTATTTATAACCCNGGATGCTTGGCAACTGGCCTGTATTTATGACGGTTGCAGTGTCCCAGGGTCATGTGATTATTTTTAGCAATCTTTTGACAAGCAAAGTCAATGGGGAAGCCAGATTCATTTAACAACTGTGTTCCTAACTTAATAACTGCAGTGATTCACTTAACAACTGCAGCAAGAAAGGTTGTAAAATGGGTGCAACTCACTTAACAACTGCCTTGCTTAGCAACAGAAATGTTGGACTCAGTCATGGTCGTAAGTTGAGGACTACCTGTAGTTGTGGAATTCCTTTTGTTGGATGGTTCTATCTTCTAGTTAGGGTCAATATAGCATAATTCATATTGCATGAATGAATATAACACCATTCGTGCAAACTGATGGCAAGGCTCAAACTTTTTGGAAAAGTCATCACCCAGTAGAAATCTGTGCTGAATATATAGAGCTTGCTTGATATGTGAGGAGAAATGTCTGTGGTGTTCTGTTTTCAGCATTATATATAGAGAGGACAAAGACAAAGGTTCATTGAGGAATATCTAAACCCTCAAAAACAAAAACAAATATATCCAGCATTCAGTGTGGATAGTCATAAGTGATGTTTGAATTCCCCTTGTACTGCAATTTTGATCAGTACTGCTGTGCCTGAATCTGCTTAGAAAATGCTGTAAAAATATAACTGTTATACGATTATCTGTGTTAGTTTTACAGCATCAGCAGTAAAGATGCAGGAGCACAATTTTAGTTAAAAAAAAAAAGCAATAAAGGATCCAAATGTTACAGGACTAGCTTATCTTGAGGCAGGTATTTTAATAAAGATGACCATTTAAGGTAGGAAAAATGAAGAATGTAAACCATTAAATCCAAAGTCTAAATTAATTGCACTGCTGAGCAACTGATCATAGCAATCCTCCATATTACATGTTTTGGCTTAAAAGGGAGACCTAAAAAAGCTTGGTTTTGGGGAGCAGACAAAAACTAGACACTGCTTTCTGAATACACCACCAAATTTCTTCTATTGCGTATGTATACAGATGTGCAGAAGCACACAATCTTTTTAGCCTAGAATTCCATAGTGTAGATTTTGCTTGCAAATAACAGGTGCCCTGCCTCACTTTGAGAGAATGTAGTTATTTTATTCAAGGACAGGGATGCATAATTTTAATTGTCTTGAATTTTCTTATAGCAACCGGATGCAATAAACTTGCCAAACAAACTACAATTCTTCTCCATGTGTCTTTGTTCTTACTATTTATAAGTACCCTAGTATTCCTTCAACAGCACATCCCACATGCTCCCAAAACAGAGCCTATTTTTAGGAGAATAAGCTCATGGTCTAGTTAAAGATGATGTGGACTTAGGATTGTTATCCTCAGAGCATTGTCTACTTGGAATTCTGGGAGTTGTAGTTCCATTCCCAGGTTTTCTGGAGGGCACCAAATTGGAGAGATTGGATAATGAGAAACCTAAGATGCCACCTTTCCTTAATGTTCCATTGTGAATTTAGAACAAAAGCACTAATAAAAAAGTAACCATTTTACCATACACATTTTTAATCTTGATCTGGAGACCATTCTTTTAGATTTCAGAAAGGAAGTTTTTGTTCTGTTTCCAAATAATAGGCATTGAGACGAGCAGGAGTAACAAAGAATCTTGTCTTTATTCCATTCACAACAGAACCAAAAGAAAATGGCGCGGATTGTTCTTATACCCCTTTGCAGGGACAGTATCAGCCAATCAGTGCAAGGCATTTCTCCCGCCTTGCGCATGCGCACAAGGCGGGAGACAGCCTGTCTGGTCCCGGGCATTCACGTGTCTGCCCGGGCCTCTCTGCA